TCATGCTTATCATATGTAAAATGGAAATAATAATAGTGCCTGTCTTATGAAGCTGTTGTGTGGTATAAATGAGTTAATATGTGTAAAATGCTTAGAACAGGAGTGGGCACAAAGTAAGCCCCCAGGAAGATTAGCTATTCTTGTTATTTCTGTTAATAGAGACTGAGGTGCAGAAAGGCCAGTGGCTTGTCCATGGCCTCACACCTGCTGCAGGACAGAGCCTGGGCACACACACAAGTCTGTCTTCAAAGCACACATGATCCAACACGGCTGATTCTAGCTCTGCGACCCCCCACCCCACCCCATTCACATTACCACCCGCATCCATGCCAACGTGGCCTAGTCTTTCTTGGTACCAACCAAGGCTGCAAGATGCTAAAGGGAAGATACTAAAAGAACTGGCATTCTAACTGACTTAAACCCTGATGTGCCTACTACATATAGAACAAACCCAAGTGTGTCCTGGTATGGGGATCTGTCGCTTAGCTAAGAGAAAATGGGCCTTTTCCAAGGAGGGGAGAACCTCTGCCTTTGGGCGTTTTTATATGAGGCCTCACATGCTCTCCTCGAAACGCTGAGAGGAAGGCAAAGCCTGAACTGTGCAATAAAACCCCATCAGGTGAGGTTCTCTGAGTAGAGATGATGGGACTGATTGCTGGTGGAGAGGGAGAAACAATTTGAGGGCCAATCCAGCAAGAGAGCCTCATGAGCCAAGAGTACCCCGCTGCCCTGGGTCCTGCCCTGCTCCTGGAAGGTTCTAGAAAGAGCCAGAGCCTTGCTAGAAAAAACACGTGCATCATAGAAAACCAAACCATCTGTTGTGGTACATATATACAATGGAATCTTAGCCATAAAAGGGAACGAAATGGGGTCATTTGTAGAGATGTGGATGGACCTAGAGACTGTCATACAGAGGGAAGTAAGTCAGAAAGAGAAAAACAAATATCATATATTAACTCATATATGTGGAATCTAGAAAAATGGTACAGATGAACTTGTTTGCAAGGCAGAAATAGAGACACAGACATAGAGAACAAACATATGGACACCAAGGGGGGGAAAGGGGGTGGTGGGATGAATTGGGAGATTGGATTTAACATACATACACTAATATGTATAAAATAGATAACTAATGAGAACCTGCTGTAGAGCACAGGGAACTCCACTTCGCTGTACAGTAGAAACTAACACAACATTGTAAAACAACTATACCCCAATAAAAAAAGCAAAGAAAAGAAAACTGAACCATCTGTGATCCAGAATGATCCGGGAGTGGGAAGCTTTGAAGCATTAACTCAAAGAAAATGACCCACAGTTGTAGTTAGTTAATACTATGGGGGCATACTATGTGCCAGGGCCCGTTCAAAGTCCTTTAGAAATAATATCCCATTTACTCTTCATATCAATGGTATGATGTAACCTGTATTTATTAGTCCCATTTTGCAGATGAGAAAACTGAAACACAGAAAATTCAAATAACTTCTTCCAAGGTCACACAAGCAGTCTGGCTTCAGAGCCCACGGTCTTTATCAGCATTTTCAAACCTTTTGGCCCAACCCACAGCATGAAATACACTCTACATCAGGACCCAGTATACACTCACACAGTTATACAGAACTGAAACAAAGTTTTAAAACAGAATATTACTCACCATTACCATGTGCAATGCACTCTGGTGTTTTCTATTCTATTCCATTAAAAAAATATATTGGGCTTCCCTGGTGGCGCAGTGCTTGAGAGTCCGCCTGCCGATGCAGGAGACGCGGGTTCGTGCCCCGTTTCGGGAAGATCCCACATGCCGCGGAGCAGCTGGGCCCGTGAGCCATGGCCGCTGAGCCTGCGCTCCGCAAATGGGAGAGGCCACAACAGTGAGAGGCCCGCATAACGCAAGGAAAAAAAAATAAAATTAAAAAAAAAAAATATATATATATATATATATATATATCATTCAACAAATATTTATGGAACACCTATTATGTGTTAGACCCTGTTCTAGGCTTTGGGGCTATGTCAGTGGATGAAAGAGATAAAAATCCTTGCCCTCTTGGAGCTTGCATTTTACCAGAGAGAGAGAGTGAATAAGATCCACATGCAAAATCGTAGCATCTGAGGTGGTAATTTGGTGAGTGCTATGGAGAAAAGTAAAGCAGGGAAGGCCAAGGGTGGCCATAGAAGGCCTCACGATGTGTTCACTCCCCACTATGCTGATTTCAGTGGGCTGTCACCCACAGCGGGAAAACCCTGGCCCTTAATCTCTCCACTCCAGCGCCTCCTATATGTCTGGAGGCTCTTCCTCCTAGATTGTGCACATGTGCACACTTGTATGTGACTACGTGCACATGTGTATACATGTATAGGCATGCATGGATGTGCTACATGCATGTATGCATACACATGTCCACCCCATTCGCTTCCTCACTGGGGACGTTTGGGAGATAGGAGGCAGGGCTCCCACATACAGCCCTACACAAGCCTGCCCTGCAGAGGGGGTCCTGGAATGGGGCCTAAAAAACAGCCCAGGCACTGTGAGCCAATGCCACAAGCGCCAGACATATGCCCCAGCTGGAGTCTTAAGTCAGAGGAAGGAAAATCTTTTTATCACTGGTCCACCCAGAGGAAGCACCTCTTGTAAACTGTTAGGCCAGAGGGAATGCTAGTTCCTAATCTGAATCAAGGTGCTCTATGTGCTAGAGTGCCCTTAAGGATAGAGGAGACAGAGCACAGAAATAAAAATCACTCCCCGGGGAAAATCCAGTACATCGAGCACACCTGGCAGGGTGACTGAAGTGGGTCTGGGGGGGAGACGGGATTGGGGCCAGCTCTAAAGCAACTCTGGGGGACTTCCCTGGTGGCACAGTGGTTAAGAATCCGCCTGCCAATGCAGGGGACACAGGTTCGAGCCCTGGTCCAGGAAGATCCCACATGCTGCGAAGCAACTAAGCCCGTGTGCCACAACTACTGAGCCTGCGCTCTAGAGCCCGCGAGCCACAACTGCTGAAGCCCGCGTACCTAGAGCCGTTCTCCGCAACAAGAAAACCCATTGCAATGAGAAGCGCACACACTGCAAGTAAGAGTAGCCCCCGCTTGCCACAACTAGAGAAAGCCCACGTACAGCAACAAAGACCCAACGCGACCAAAAATTAATTAATTAATTAATTAATTAAAAAAATAATAAAGCAGCTCTGGGCCACTTGGGTAGCCTCCACTGAGGGCATTTGGAACTTGGCACTAGAGTGAAAGCTTCAGACTACAAGTTAAAGGGGCACATAAAAATGTTACTAGCATGGGCAGCAAAAGCATTACCTATGGGAAAAGCAGCCAGTCTCTGCTAATGAGTAAGTGTAATTGATCACAACAGATGACTTGATGGCCATTCCAAATGCGCTTTTAGCAAAGCGGACAGTTTTTTTCATTCAAATGCAAGCTCACCTAGATAAGATCTAATAATTGAGATTTTGGAAGAATCCCAGCATCAGTGATTTCTTTTTTTTCCTCTTTCACTGAGCAGGAAGGCATCTTAAGTTCCTGGTCACAGCTTGACCCAATCAGATGACAATTTATGCTTTCCCTATGGCTGAGGAGACCGTGACAGTCCCTGGGGCAGCAAAGGATCAGTCACAGGACAGCCCACATCCTTATCTGTCCTTTCCTCCTTAGCCCTTTTCCCACTCCCGACCTATGGGGAGCTGGGTGGCTGGAAGACACATTCAATTCAATGCAGTCGGGCTTCCCTGGTGGCACAGTGATTAAGAATCTGCTTGCCAATGCAGGGGACACGGGTTCGAGCCCTGGTCCGGGAAGATCCACATGCCATGGAGCAACTAAGCCCATGCGCCACAACTACTGAAGCCTGCGCATCTAGAGCCTGTGCTCCGCAACAAGAGAAGCCACTGCAATGAGAAGCCGGCACACCACAACGAAGAGTAGTCCCCACTCGCCACAACTAAAAAGAAAGCCTGCGCACAGCAATGAAGACCCAACACAGCCAAAAATAAATAATTAAATAAAATTAAAAGAAAAATTCAATGTAATCATCCACTTATTCAATAAATATTTATTAAGCACTTACTGTATGCAAGGCACTGTGCTGACCACTGAAAGGGGATTCCACCACAACATGGCTAAGACCAGGTCCTGTCCTCAGAAGAGAGGGCAGATGTGAGGAGAAACAAGAAAATGACAGGAGGGCCGAGTGGAGGTCCCAGCTCACTCCAACAAGCACTTAATCCTTATGTGCTTCAGTTTCCTCCTTTATCAAATGAAGGCACTGCTCTAGACATGATCTCTGGGCACTAGGCCAGCTCAAACACTCTATGATTCCAAGCCCTCCCCTTCCCACTCAGGCTCCTAGGCACCTAGGAAGCTGACAGATCAGGTGGTGACTCCTAGGAAGAGGACAGTCAGCAAAGGAAGGGGGTGGTGAGGATTATTATGTACCTTTCCCACAGTGAGGGGTTCTTTCATTTTGGCCAGAACACAAGGTACAGGCTGGAGAAGATGAGCGATAAGTTCAGAACATTAAGTGGAAGATTTAGACTTCCACATCAAGGAATCTGGAGGAAACGGGAACCACTGAAGTTTGTGCAGAGAAGGATACTATCAAGTGTGGGTGGTGCAAGGGAATCTCACCGACTCGCAGAGGATGAGTTGGAGGGGGCCGGGGAGGGCGGTGATGTTGCAATACAGAAGAAAGGCTGAGGCCTGAAGTGAAAGATTCCTCCCTTGGTCTGGTCGAGCGCATGCATCATCCCCTCATCCCCTACCATCGCCATAATGCTTATTTTCTTAAACTTGCCCAAGCCGAAATCCCTTTGCACCCTCTTTTTTTTTTTTAAGTTCCACAAGTGCCTTCAAGGTAAACAGGTAAATTTTACCTCCCTTCTGCCCAGGAGCCTGAGGTTAAACAGAACCAGCGAGGTGTTTCAGGGAGTGGTGGGGAAGCGGCCAGCAGGCGAGGCCCAGGATAGAAGAGGCGGGGATCTAGAGAGGGGTGCGCCTACCTGCAAAGGAGCCGTCCTCGTGGTCGGAGCTGTTGTGGCTGCAGTCACTGCCCCTCTCGGGCGAGCTGTGACTGGGCGAGTCCCGCTCGGGCAGCCCCAGGAACCTCTTGCGCCGCCACGGGGGGAGGGGCTCGCGAGCCCTACGCTGGGGGAGCTCCTCTGCCGCCGGGGACGAGCCCCGCCCGTCCTTGACCTCTGCCTCTAGCTGCTCCAAGTCGCGGCTCCCGCGCGGCTGCCGCCGGCTCCCGAGGATCAGGTGCATCCAGCGATGGGAACTGTACGCCCGCGCTGGCTTTTCCGCCTCATCGCAGGTCCCGGGCCGGCAAGGGGTCACGAGCAACTGGCTGAGGGTGAGTTTCTCGTTCAAATCCACCATCTCGAAGTCGTGGTCACTGCTGTCGCCCCCATCGTCCGCGCCCGAGGCGTCCGGCTCGTCCTCCTCCGAGCCCCGCCCCGCACGGGTCTGGGCGGACCGCTCCTCTCCCGGGGCGCTGGGAACTGTGCCATCGTGGCCGGGGGGCGCGCAGTCCTCCCGCGGCCTGAAGAGGAGGCGAGGCTGCAGTAGCTGCTGGTGGATGGCGGCGGTCAAGCTGCGAACCGCGCCCCCAGCCCCCGCCGCCCTGGGCCAGGTGGGAAGGTCCTGGCACAGGTAGGGGGCACTCTCGGCCTTCGCGGCCACCTCCGTGGAGGGGAGCGACGGGCCCGGGGGGTCTCCGCCGCCGCCCGCTGCGCCCGCCTCCTCGAGCGGCGCCGGCTCCCTCTCCGACCCGGCCGGCTCCTCAGCCGAGGCCCCCCTGCTGTCCCCGTCTCCGCCCTCCAGGCGCCCGCAGCCGAGGTCCCGCTTCTCCAGGGCCGCCTGCAGGTAGACGATTTTGAACTTTTCCTCAGCCAGCACCTGTTGCAGCCACTTCAGGTTGAGTTTGCTGCGCTCCAGCTCGCGCTCCATGTCCAGCACCGAGTCCAGCCGCATGACGGGCGCCTCCTCCCCAGGGAACTCGGCCTGCCAGTGGCGCTCAAAGTCCTGGGGGTCCCACATGCCGGGAGCCCCTTCGGGCCTCCGGGGCCCAGCTCCTCCGCGCGCAGCGGGCTGGTGTCGCGCTCGGCTTTCTCCGCGCTGACGCAGTGGCCTGCCCTTCACTGCAGCCCCAGAAGAGAATAAGAAAAAAATTAATAAAGTTTTTCCCCTTCCGCCCTCGTGCCTTTTTTCTTCTCCTTCTTCTTCTTCTGGGTTTCGCCTCCCTGACGTCAGCGGCCACCGGCGGCGGCGGAGGCGGGCGCCTGGGCGCCCAGGGCCCGCCCCGGGCAGGACGCGCTGAGCCGACGATCTGCAGTCCCCGCGCCTTGCCCTGCGCCCCACGGGCTCCGGTGTCTGGAGAGCCGCGGCGGGGGCGGAGCCTCGCGGGCGAGCTCTGGGTTGCGCCGACGGCCGAGAGGCTGCGAGAGGGCCTGGCACGGCGGGCCTGCGGTGCTGCCCACTCCAGAGGCGCCGGCGATACTCGAAGCTGGCCGCCGTAGGCCCGGCTCGCACCTTCCTGGCCTGTCGGGCTGCGCCGCTCCAGGCGCGGGGCCGCGCGGCCGGGGAGGCGGGAGCGAGGGGGAGGGAGCGCGCAGGGTCGCCCTGGGCCGCAGCCAGCCTCCGCTCGCCCGGCCCTCCACAGCCTCGCCTGTCCAGGGTCCGGGCGGCGCCTGGGGCCGAGAAGGAAAACGTGGGGGAAAGGCGATGTGGCGCGGCGGCGAGGGCAGGTGCTGAAGGGCTGACTGGCGGGGTTGTCCTCCCCTGGGATTTATGGAGCGCCTTTAACTTAACTTGGCCAAAATCACGGAGCTGCTTAATCCAAAGCTGGGGATAAACCTGTTTTGTTTTGGTTTGGTTTTGGGTGTTTTTTTTGAGACCCTTTAAAGCTTTCTCTCCACTGCTCACTAGAAATAGGCAAGGGTGACAGCTCCAAGTGGCTCTGCTTAGAGGCCCCTGTGACTTCAAAGCTAAGGATCCTCCCATGTGACTTGGTGTGATGGAATCAAACCATGACTGGCAGGGGCCTTAGACACCTGGGCGTCTAAGAGGACCCTCCACTCCGCTTCCTCTTTGTGGCCTCAACAATTCCCCTGGGGAGGAGCTGGGTACCGGCGCCTGGCCTGACACTCTGGGTGGGGCGGCGGATGGAGGGCTCCCGCCTCACCTCCTCTTCCCACCTGGCTGCACCACTTTTCTAGGGTCTTCGGTGAGGTCCCACTGTCTGCAGAGAGAGGGCCTGATAAACCGTCTCGCGCTCTCCGCAAGGGGGGACCTTGTCGGTGATTCACATTTTCTTCGTTTTAAGTATGTTGGAAATTGATTCTGTAAGAGACTAAGTGACTTGGCAGCTGGAAATTCTTCCAGGCCACAATGCCCTTTGGGGACTGGAGCTAAACTCAGCGACCTCTTCTCTCCAGATCCCTGCCACTAGCCGCTCACTTGAACCATGTGAACAGGCCATCCCTCTCCCACCTTCCAATCCCTTTCTGCCTATCCCTCAAGGCTGGATATTGGAAGGATACCATAAAGTATTTCTTAACCACAAATGAGATAGTGTCATGCTTCTGTTCAAAACCCTCCGGTGGCAGGGAGTTCCCCGGCGGTCCAGTGTTTGGGGCTTCGCCTTCCGATGCAGGGGGTGCGGGTTCGATCCCTGGTGGTGGGCCTGGGATCCCACATGCCTCGCAGCCAAAAAAACCCACCAAAAACATAGAGCAGAAGCAGTATTGTGGCAAGTTCAATGGAGACCTTAAAGATGGTCCACATCAGAAAACAAAACAAAATCTTCAAACAAACAAAACCCTCCAGCGGCTCCTCATAACGCACACCTCCAGGATGGAGTCCAGACTCCACTGACAAAGGAGGTCCTCCCACATTTGGTCCCTGCCCACCTCTCTGCCTTTCTCCTAGGCTTTAGCCTTACCAACTCCCTGCTGCCTGGGGGACTCCAACCCTCCTTTAAGACCCAGCTCCACCTATGAGAAAACTTTTCCGGCCCCTCTCCCTCTTCTTTGTGTCACACTCTCCACCTTGTACATGTCTTTATCTTTACCCTTGTTCCACTTTATGGCAATTATTAGTGACACCTTTTGTTTCCCTTTCTCATAGCTGCTCTCAGGGTCAGGGACTGTGTCTTTTCCAGTTTTGTATTCTTGCTGCTTCTTGGAGAGTGTGACTGACAGATAGCTGATAATTGTTGAATGAAATGAATGAATGAATGAACAGGCAGATGACCGAATCCTCACCTTGCAGTTCCTGCTTCGCTGCTCCAGGTGTGAATCACTCTGGGCTGGGAGCAGATGTGCTTCCCACAGACACTTCTCAACTCTGGAATTTCCTTCCTCGACAAAGTCTGTGTTTACTCACTTTCCCAATATCCCTTCTTCCTTTTTCTTTCTCTTTTCTTTTTCTTCCTTTCCTTCCTTCCTTCCTTCCTTCCTCCCTCCCTCCCTTCTTTCCTTCCTTCCTTCCTTCCTGCTTTTCTTTTTAAATTTGGTGTGCCACTGGTATGACTCATCTCTGTGTTTGTCTTTGTGCCCGATTGCTATGGAGAAATGGATATGTTTTAAAAAACATTAGTTGCGTATTCCCCAGCTTGTGTGATTTCTCAGTCCTTCACCTAGTCCCTTAAGCTGCTTTCTCTTCCACCTTTGCTTCATATTTTGAAGAGACTGTCCCTACCTCCCTAGAGGCTACCACCATCTTTGTCTACTGGGAGGGACTGAGGTGCTCCCAATGCCTACAGCCAGCCAGTGCAGGGGTATTCCATCAAGCGGAGTCCACAAGCATCTTGGCCTCTGTTAAGATTTCAGAATGGGGAAGAAATGTAGCACAGCAGACATGGATAACCCCAGTCAACAGCATATTGATTGGAAGATGTTTCCATATGTATATTTAAATGCACAAAGGAAAAAAGTTACTGTAAGTTACTATGAGCATCCATTTCTGAATTTCTAATTTCCCTGGGAGGATAGTTTCAACTCTGTCCTTTAATTAAAGCAGCAGTATGATTCCCTTTTGGTCCAAGGAAGCTGTTACCAATACCACTAATTTTTTCCACGAGGACCAATATAGCCAGAAATGCCAGCATTCATCATCTGTAAACAGGTCCCAGGAGCAACCTTCATTGTCTCTAACTGGTCGATAGTTTAGCTTTATTACTTGGCTTTGGGTCATCATGGGGGCAGGGATAGAGTGGCTGACATTTATTGAGTCCACACTTCTAGTGGCCATGCATCTTTGATCTCATCTAATTTCGACAACAACCCTGTAAAGAAGGTATTATTGTCAAGATAGTGAGAGAGAGAGAAATGGAAGATCAAAGAGGTTAGAGGTCACACAGCTAATTTTCTGGAGTCTAAAGCTCAGTAGTTTTGCAAGGGCTTGGCCCAGGTGCATCTGGTCATTAGCATTTATTCATTCAATAAATATTTGTTGAGCACCTATTAAGCTCCAGAGCCTGGCAAATAAAGTTTAAACTTTGTAACCTGGCATATCAGACTCTTCACAATGGATCCTCTGACCCCAGCCTACTTGTCCAACCCCATTTCTTGAATTTCTTCTGCTTGCTGCACCCATTCAGGACCCCAATCTGAGTCACCCACAGAGAAGATGCCTTTTCTGTTCTGTGCCACCTCCCTTTGGCCCATCCTGGATTTCTGCGGCAGCTGCAGTGGACAGTTCCCAAGGGCTGCTGGGGTCTCACCTCAAACACCCACGCCTACTACTCTCCACTTTTCTGTCCTAGGGATGCTTTTCTCAAGCATCCCAGATGAAAGCTTCTATGGGGGCAAGTTATTCCGGGGCATCCCATGGCCAATGGAAATGGGAGTTGGTTAATAAATGCCGCAGGCTCCTGTCTTTGGAGGGCCTGAGGCATATTCTGCATGGTTGCTCAGTGGTCTCCAAGAGGAATGAGCCCCCACTGTTCACAGTGGTAATCAATCCATAATGAGCTCTCTATTGGCTTTCCCTTCTTGTCTGTCTCCCTCTCCCTCACTCCTGCTTCCTGGAATAATCTCCTGACTAAAATACTTGTACCGAGTCCTTGTGTCAGTCCCTGCTTTGCCCCTCTGGACCCCCCACTAGGACACCCTCCAGCCTCCCCACACCCTCTCTGATAGCCACACAAGGTGCTTCACCATTCCCCCAATTACTCCCCCATCTCTCTTGTCTTCCTTTGCCATGTTGTTTCCTCCCGTGTGAAAGGATGAGATCCCTTTTCACCTGTCCAAGCCCAGCTCACCTGTGACATTCTCTCTGAAGCCTTCCCTTCCCCAGGTCCAGTTAGGCATGCTTGTCTACAGAGGGATTTAACTTAGTCACGCCACATTGTAATTAGTTCCATGGCTCCTTGAGGA